AAGCTGATGTACTGTTGAAGGTGAAATTAAATCAGAATTAAGAAATGATAATTATGTGGAAAGCGGATAAGGAAACTGTAAGGAAACGCAAAAAATAATAATATAACAGTCACATCATTTGTTAATCATAGTGTTTGCTACTGGGTCTGCTGCTTTTTTTTGCTGAGCTTCAGCCTTTAGGAAATTGTAACTGACATTTTTCAAAAAGACAAATAAGCCACCTCCTAGATTGTGATTCAAACATTCTGTGACAGAGTGAGGCTTTTTCTACGGAATGTATGGAAAATGAATGAGAGTTTGTCAGAGTTTGCGTTAGTGATCAGTTGACAGATGCACGAGGACGTGGACAGAGGGTAAAAGAAGCAAAAGGTGAAAAAAGGCAGTAAAGAGATTATGGATGGAGCGTCAGTGAGGGTGATTGAAAGGTTAGCCGGTTGGTTTATTACCTGGATACTCGGGGTGGGACAGGCGCAAGACGGGGCTGCACTAGGATGGACTGACGCCTCCCCTAAGAGAAATCACCGTATCTCATCAACAAGGGAGGAAAGGAGTATAGGTAAAGGTGGAGGAGGAGAAAGAGGAGGCAGGAGTCGACCGGATTCAGACAGGCAGTGAGGTTTCGAAAGAAAAGCAACAGCCACTCAACAACAGAGAGACACAATGCACAGGAATAAAAACAAACAAACAAACAAAAAAAAACCCCAAACAATTATAAATAATGACACAGATATACACAGAAATACTCACCAACATAGTTTCACTGCACAAATTGGGCCTACACAAGAACAACATGAGAAAAATGTACAAACTACGAGCAGCCTGTGAACAGAAAAGCAGCCGGGCATGCTGGGTATCATCAACCAAATTCATGCTTATGGGACATGAAAGTAAGGCTTTTAAAATGTGCAGCTTCACACGATGATGACAACATCTGCATCTGATGAAAGCAGCTGACTAATTAATGTGAGGCTCTCATGTTTCCTGCTGCAGGAAGAGAAGACACCGAATCAAAGACAGACGTGCTTTATATCAAACGTGCATCATCGCTACCTAAAGAAAGACATGGATTAGCAGTGTAAGACTTAGTAAACACCACATCAAGACTTAAGATAAAAAATATATATAAAGTGCCTATAAAAGGAAGAACAATATTTTTTTTCTTTCAGTATAAATATAAATTGTACTAACTCCTGCTGTGATGCTCATGGAGAAAATGGCGAATTGAAATAGTTTATGAATAAACAGCCGAAATGATTAATGCAACTAAAATCTCATAAAAACAAAACAAAACACCCAAGAGATATCTTTTTCTAATCGTTTTTAGAGATACTTCAAATTCAGAGAATTTAGTCTTGAAACTGTAAATCTTTGCAGATTGTTTTTTTTATTTTTTTTACTTTTACTTAGTTTCTATTTACGCAGGATATGCAGTTAACTTCAAATTCTCTTAAGTGACTTGACTCTGGATACTACCCTAAAACTGGAAAAAAAATCCATGAAAAGTTTTTTCTCTATTTGATTAAACATGTAATTATAAATTTGATTGGATACCAAGAGACTCATGTTGAACTTGTCTAATATCCCAGTTCTGACTTGAGAGCAGTTACTCTGAGCAGAATTACTCTGTGAGCTACACTTGGACTGGACAAAGGCCCATAATAGTTATATGTGGCCAGAATGAGCTGTTTTTTTTATTAGGGGTAAAAATAACCAGAGAAAACAACAGATCCAAATGTTTTTTCTTATTTCTCTTTATCCTGTCTTAGTTGTTATTTCAGACATCAATTGAATGGTTGTAGTCTTGTTTTCCATCAGCTTAAATATGACACAATATGAATGTGACTCTGAAACCTCAAAGAAATCCAAGCTGCAACTATTTCAAGCAGATTTCATATTGAACTGTATCTTAAACACTTGTTTAAGACGATTGTACCTTATCTTATCTTAATTAGAATAAACTAAACGTATCTTATCTTAGCATACATTAGCATACCTCTTCTCTCAAACAGATGCACCACACTATATTGTTCATATGATTTAATGCCCTTAAAATGGATCTTAATAAGGCTAGTTAAAGGAGGGTTAACCATTGTGACCCCAAGACCCTAACAGTTGTTCTGGCGGGTATCATGACATAATTTTAACCCGACACTGTGATTTCCACATCAAAGCTAACACATTCAGCAACGCAGTGTTGCCTTCAGGCATGTGTGGTAGCGAACGTAGCTTTGTGGGATACCTCAAGGCTCAGATTTGGGGGCCATAAACTTTCCATCTGAAATATCAATGACATCTGTGAAGTTTTTAAAACTGTTCAAACCTGATGACAGGGATTTCTAATGAAACAAACAATAATGAGAATAAGTTATCGTTACCTTGGACAAAAAGGTGTTTTTACTAACAAAAGATTGGATTGAATCTCAGACTTAGTTTCTTATCATATCCAGACCACTTTAAAACAAATTTGCCGTTGTTGATGGGATTGTACAAATATGTTAGCTTAAAAAATGTATGAAGGAAAAACCAACGACAACATGCTCAAAATTTAATTAGTAGAAAATAAATTTATATATATATATATATATATATAAATTTTAAATGCTGAATAAATCATTTATTTATACATTTTTTGTTTATTAGACAAATAAACAAAAAAAGTATGTTTTTAACCTTCTGATGTTCTGAAAAAAAAGACTTTTTGTACCATGACTTGAAGAAGCCCTGTAATCGAGCGTATTATTATTATTTCAGAAAATTCCAAAAACTAACAACAATTCAAGTTTCACATTGCCAAGTCAATTTTTAAAACTAATTAACAGATTCACTATAAGTTGATCCTGATGACTCATGTGTTGATGATTGTCACTACACATTAAGGCAAAGAAACTCTGCAGATTCCAACCAATGCAAGAAACGACAAAAACTTTGACTTCACTTTTGGAGCAGGTGCAAAGAAATGAACCCCTGATGATCTGCACAAGATCACATTAAAACTAGACTGTAATCTGTAACTCTGACCTGTAACAGAAATGACCGGAGGAACCACAGAGGAAGGGATACAGCAGACCAAAAAAAAAAAATCATAACAGTAGCAGGAGGTACGGGGGTAAGGAAGGAGGAGGCAAAGGTAAGGAGAAAGGAATGGAGGAGAAGCGGCACAGGCATCTGCACAGACTCGACGATGACAAAAAAAAAAATGTCTTCACAGACCTGGTCTGGGTAAATCCTGGTTTTAGGTTCAATCACGGCTCCTCCTCTTATCTCATCCTCCACAGCCATGAGTCTTAGAAGCAAGGAGAGGTGGCAAAAAAGAGGATAGAAAAGGCGGGAAGAGGGGGGTTGGAGTTGGGGAGGGTGACAGACAAAAAGGGAGTGTTAGGAATTCAAGGAGATATCTTCATAAAGATGCTGAGCAGATGTTTCTCCAACATCTGACCCAACATCTAATGACAATTACCTGCATCTGGAACCTGATTCTCTGACACTGCGCTCAATCTCTAAAGCACCACCAGCAGAAGGTATGTCCAACCATGCTTGATTTGTTTTTGTTTTGTTTTTTTCCCTCTCTCTTTTTCTTCTTATCCCAATGGGACCATCAAAGCTTTCTTTTTCTGTATTCAGGTGATTTCAAAGACCAATTACATCCAACTCAAGCCAATTATTCTCGCTTACTTGACAGGGAACGTTTCAGATACAGATCCCATCCAACCCTCGGGGGAATTGCCTTTCCTGAGGAACATGGGCCGACTGAAGCGTTGTTATATTTTTTTTTTTCCTGGTGGAAAATCCTTTGACCAATGGTTTCAAAGACTCCCGCTGCAGTTTTCATGAGGCAGCAGACGAGCCGCAGGTTTTTTTTTTTCAGCAGCTCTCATGATTATCCAAGTGCCAGGGATTATCTCCAGATATGGGTTTATTCAAGGATACTCTAACATCGCTAACACTTACACTGGGTTATCTGGCTTTTACACAGCTAGACGGCTAAAGACGAAGTACTGTGCCGGTGGCAATACAGAGCCAAGAAGGGGTGAAAGTTATTTCCAAGACATTTTATCACTGCAGGATTAAACCCTAGCAGTTGTTAAGTATCCTTTTTGTGAAATTAGATATGTACATAAAGCTACTGTTGGTGCAGTGACTCGGTTCAAATGTTATCTGAGAAAACAGTCCACATCCCAAATTTGGTCGATTGTTCCACCCACTGCTGTGAATTTGGGGATTTTAGGGACTTTAAATAACATGGCCAGGAAGTTGAAAAGTCCGATTTTTTTTTTCCGTACTTTATAAACATAACTCAAGGTTAATTTGAATCGTTGGTAAATCCTGTCACTTTAAGATGACTGGGAGAGGAAAAGTTTGTACTGTGTTAAAGAGATTTTTTTTTAAGGTCTGAGAGAAATGTAAATAAACACAATATAAAGTGGATGAACATCAGGCTGCAGATGAACAGCATATTAAACAACACCACAACCAAGGCAGGTCTCTCTCCAGTGGAACTAAAGAATTGATGATTTAGTCTTTTCCTGAATTTGACATAAAAACAAAGAGCAAAACACCAAAGAGAAAAAAAATCAAATACCAGCCACAGATGGAAATGGTCCGCTGGAGTATTTGGTTTGACTCGAACAAATAATGATGTGTCTGTCAGAGAACATCAAAGCCATCATTCTCAAGGTTCTCAAGACACTGACAGCAAATATAAACCAAACTGTCCCAGTATTCTTATTTTAAAACTTTACAGCAGTTTGAAACTAAAACTTTGGTAAAATATGACAATCAACTGTGCATAAAATTTCCCCACAGCAGCTTTAACCAATCACGAACTAAAACGGCACGTTAGTAAGATCGTTGTTTAGAACAAACAACAAAAAAAAAAAGGCACATGTGTGACAATAAATAAGGAAAATCCACAGATAAAGTTTCAAACATAGGTGTTTGGATGTTTTATTCCATAAATAATGTACAATGTCGGGGATTATATATATATATTTGTTTTACAAAAAAAGAAGAGAAGAGGAAAAGGAAAAGGATCAATCAGAAGCACAGACATAAATATCTCAGGAAATAACAATGAAATGTAACATGAGTTTACAGCATCAAGAGTCTGACATGACTTCAAAGGCAGACAATGGCTCATGTGGGTGATGTGTCAGTGAGGAGAGAGGGGGAAGAAAAATATCAAGGATTTGTCAGGAAAATAAATCAAATTGTTTTTCAAGTAGTGTGCTTTTGAGGTCAAGTCGTACATGTGATCAGAAATAATGTGTAATCAAGCAACATGAGGTCAAAATCAGAACCGCTACAGGGACAAAAAAGGCAGGAAACAAATAGAATTAGAGTTATTGTAAAGGCAACAAAAGGAAGAAAAAAAAAACAGAACTGGATCAAAATTTAGCTGCAAATATTTTCTCCTTTTCATTAAAAATGACCTCCTTTTTACTTTTAGCCTGTGATGTGTGCAAGTGGAATGTTAATTAAGTAAGCAATAAATATAACTAGGTTAAATTTCAGCTGTTTTTTTATTCTTTTCTTTCATTTTTCGGGCTTTTTAGTGTTTGTGAATAATTAATAATGGTGTAATGTATGTTTTGTAGCATTTTATTTACTGTTGACTGTTTAAGCCATTACCATCTCCAATTTGACTAAAAACAAGGAACATCTTTGCAACTGTATTTGATTCAGGTCCGTAAAGAGACAACAGGTCTCTAAGCTGTAGCACACACACACACATAAACAAACAAACAAGCACGCACGCACGCACACTCACACAGACTTCAAAGTCAAAAACTCATCACCACTTTGATTTCATTTACAAGTGTTGAATATTTTACCTAATAATATATTCTTGCTACAAAAGAGAGGCCGTAATACTGAACGTGAAAAATAACCGTTATCTCAGCACAGCGACAGATACAGAAAAAAATAACAAATAATAAATATGGATAGCCTTTAAATAATACTGATAAATATTTAAATTATACCGTAACTGCTTCTGTTCAACCGTCTCACTGAAACTATCTGAGTGGAGTCACTGGACAGCACCGATGGCTCAAAACGGGCATGTACAGCAAGAAACCATACAGATGAGAATATATCCACGGCAGTCTTTCATTTCAAAATAATGCAAACAAATTCACAAACACTATACATGAATAGCTGAAAAAGGAAAAGAACAAAACAATGTTTGCAAAATGATCTCAGTGATTTTTACCTTTTTGTACAGTTTTCCAGTGTTTTTTTTTCCTCTCGCAGTTTGGACACTGGATGGCACCTAAAAAGGTTTTGGCAGGAAGTTTCTGTTTCTTTATTTACACAAAACTACAGAATCTCCAAGGGACATAGGTAAAAAAGAAAGGATTTTAGGCCAGCTTATTTACGTTTTTGGAGTCCTTAGTTAGAGAATTCTTACAATTTTATATAGTTTTTTGTTGGTTAGCATTAGTATTGCTGTAGAAAATGCATTTTTGGATTGCTTGGAACAATACAGGTCTTTGACATCTAATGCTTAAGTGCCACAGTGAATTGCTAATTGCTAATGCCAATTCATTTCCAGAAAATGTGACTGGAGGTTTGTGAGTGAAGATTTGCACCATGATAAAAACTACATTTCGCTTAATCTTTGGCTAGTTTTGCAAGCTAGCTATTTTTTACTTATTTATGTTTAATTTGTTTTCATATTTTCTCTGCCAAATCTGTTTTTAGCTCTTTGACTTTCAATCTGTTCTTTGGCTAACAATTAAAGTAGGTACTGAGTTGCTACTATTTGTATCTCATATGTAACTTGTCGATTTAGATATTTATGTACCATAACTTTACTTCTTTTTCTTTGCCCTATGGTCCCTTCAGTGGCTCTGTACAAACACATGTAGTATCTCTCATCGGGATCCTTCAAATCTGGACATATAGTATCTATTATTGCGTTTCTTTTGCTAGAACGTTTGCTATTGCGAGATTGAAACTAAAATGTCACTCTAAAAAAAAGTAGAATATATATCTAAATACTTTATTTATAACTCCATTATTATGGCTCTTGCATTACAAACTTAAATATGCTATGGATTATGAGTAAAAATAGAGCATTACTTTAACATGTACAATGTTTATGATGTTTCTCCAATGTGTTTTACAGGTAAACTCCTATGGAAGATAAATTATTTAATATATATTTATAATATATAGCTTCTAGAAATTCATTAAACTATCTTGACAAAAAAATAAATAGAATGAATTCTAATATAAATTATAATATATATTCTAATAGCCTGTAGGGCTTTCAGTGTGATTGAATCCAAAGGAAAAGCACCACAGGTTAAAGTGTTTTCAGTGAGTTAAACTTAGCAGGACCTAAACTCATCATTTCATACCACTTTGGTTTAAATAAGAGATTGTGCAGACCCAGAAAAGTGTATGTGGTCGAAAGGCAAAAAAGAAACTGAAAGAAAAAGAAAAAGAAAAAACAAACTTGCTCTGAGCTTTGAAGTTTAGGTACAGAACATTAAGGCCTCTCAGAAAGAAAATCTCTAACACTTGAATGACTTCAGCAGATAAAGAGATTTTTTTTTTCAAGCCCATGCAGAAACCCGGAATTTGAGACGGCTTCTGTTCGCAGAACCCCAGCTTTGCAATCGCATCAAACGCTGGAAAATAAAGATCAACTGAGGTCAAGTGGAAAAACATAAGGCTCTGGTTTGTTGTTCAGTCCAGTATGAAGGTCTGAGAGCACATCTCTTCACACCCTCCTGCTCTTATGTTCCTACGGTACATTTCAACATGTCATGTAACGCACAGACGCATACAGTGACATGAGACATTTTACCCAAGCAGTGCTTAGTACCAGGAACCACAAAAAGTACCAGGAATTATTTGTGCTAACATGTGCAGCTTCCAAACTAGTCCATTGACTTTAAAATATACAGCTCTTCTGAAGACTTCACCCACCAACAGCAATTGCAGGGATGAATAAAGTCACCCATCCATCTATCTATCCTACAACCTCAGACTGAGTAAGCTGCTCATGGAAGATGATCTGATGGTGAATTCCAGGCACTTTTATGCATCTTTCAAGTCCTAAAGTGTCCTGGTACTAGCACTGAAAATGCCTCTACGTTCTGTGCATGTGAGTCATGTCAGTCGTCTAGGAAGCGTCCACTTCTGCTACTCAGCAAGTCCTTAGAAAAGCCTTGTGTGGTCAGATGTTCAGCCTCACACAAACAGTGTCCAACACAAGTGAGCATATTCGCTTGTGTTTCCTTTAAAATTTGCAGTTCTCCACACATAACTGTGTTTTTCAAGTACTGACAGTAGGAGAAAAGAAAAGGACAATCTGACATTAACCAAGTTATCGCTTGGTTTCACAATACCAGACCAACTGGCATTGAGCCATCCTCGGAGGCAGTGTTTCTGTTAAGATCAAAATATTGCTACAAGAACTATGCAACATGAATGCTGTGTTTAACACAGCCATTGTGAAGGTAACAGTATACATGTAGTCTTTGTAAACACACCTACCCCTGTGAGTGTGTGTGTCTGCCTCTCCCAGGTGTTGTTCCATCTATAACCTTAGATTAAGTATAGATCATTCTGGTTCAGGGGCCACATACAGCCTGGTCAGATGTCAAGTGGGCCGGACCAGTACAATCATAACATAATTACCTATAATTAATGATAAGTTTATGTCCCCTAGTTTTGGCCCATGGGCCGTATGTTTGGCATCCCTGGTATAGAGTGTGACTACTTTGAACAGCTCCTTCTAACCTCCTGCTTTTGCGCTAAAGTCAGACTGAACCAAAGAATTGGAGAAGAGTTAGTAAGATATCGATGGAGCCCTGGACTATAGGAGGTCACTCCTAATGTTCCAAAGTTCTCATCCAAGCGCTACTGGAGCTTCTTAGGATAAGAACAACAAGTCCCTCCTTGTATGCAGTGTTCATGTTGCATAGCACTTGAAATTATAATTTTGTTGTGCAGCTAAAAGCAGGGTCATGAAACCTAGCCTATTATCCAGCGGTGTAATTTTTGGCTACATTGTCAGGAAAACCTCGATCTACTGTATGTTGAATCAAAGGGTCTTGTTCCTCCAAACGTACAACAGCACCAAATGTTGAAAATGGTGCAATTTCCCTTCGAGGTTTCTCCCCCCGTGGAGGTGGAAACCTAACTAAGTGCTGAAAAAGTTTCTTTATCATTCACAGACTTATTGTAGCTGTGTCTGTGACCTTCTCGCTTCATCTCGCAACAAAGCTTCACATGCATAACAGCATGTTGGAAAATCGAGAAAAGGCTTCAGTTCACGTGATCACCAAGTAGAAAGATAGATCAGCCGTCCATCAGTGACCACAGTCTGCCATGATTTACAATGGAAGAGCTAATAGTGCGTTAAACCATGGTCCTTTGCAGTCCTGTGCTTTAAGGTCTCCCAAAAATAAATGAATAAAAATCTTTGTGTTGCTTTAAAAAGTGCAAGAGGTGTCTCTGATGTCATCAACTGTCAAATCCTCTTGTGCTTTTACTGTGAAATCTCGTGAACATCCGGAGATGACCGGATTATTAAGCCTAGGAATCATCTCAGGTGACCACAAGATCAGGTTTAAAAGCAAGAGTTTTGTTCATTTAAGAAAATGATGACGTGTGCGGCAGCAGCAGCAGCAGCAGCACAAAGACATGGACACTTTGTTTAGAGGTGCTTCTATGTACACTGTGGTTTAGGCCATTTCCCCATTAAGGCCGTGCAGAACTGTCCCTGTCTTCATTCCGTGTCTTCTTTCCTGGAATGGATTAGAAGTGGCAACATTCTCTGTCACAGACGTCCACCCTTCACACACTACTGTCTTACAAGAAAACATTGCCTTAAAGGAGAAGTTTAAACCACATACAATTCTGGAAAAGTCAAGGTTAGATCCCTACTAGACACTCTCTCTCTTTCGTCTCAGAAACACAAGTGAGATACCATCTGTGTTCCATGGCGTTTCCCCTTTAACTGCTTCATCTTTGCAGGAGATCAATAAACCATTAAACTGCAACATTAGAGTTTCAACACAAGAGCATGACAAATTAAGACCGCAGTCATTTGAACACTGTGTGATGCTCTTGAATAATAAGTAAATGATGTGAGATAAGGACTGGAGGACAGTGAAAGACTGAAAGAAACCAACAGCCGAGGGAACAAGCTGCACTTTTCAAAGTAAGATCCCTGTCCTCTGGAAGACTGTCTTCTATTTTCATTTGTCACTCGTTTCATGTCTGCACCTTTGGCTCTTCATACCCTGCTTTCCTGTCATTCTCCCAGAGCTGCTCCTCTTCATCAATCTCACACCAAACACCTCTATGTTCCTAAATGATCCTGTCTACGACGACCGCTAGTAACATGCAATAAATTATTATTATTTTAAGAAATAGCAGTATCAAAGGAGCCAGCATTGTTATGAATGATGGCAGTTTCACCTGAGAGAAGTCACTCCTTCCACATAAAATCTCAGTCTATTCACCAAATGTGCATCATGATACACAATAATACACAAATAAAGTCAGTGTGGCCCAGAACACGTGGCCTACCCAACCAAACCAACATCAGCCTCCATTTACCTGCTAATTATCCCTTTAATTTGGGAGTCTTTCTCCACTTGCTGTTGCCGTAGCCTTCGTTCGCTGTCCTCCAGTCGGTTCTGGTACTGCAGCAGAATCTTATTGGTCTGCTGTTCCTGCGTGAGGAGCCGCCGCTCGTACTCCTCCAGCTTTTTGTGAGACATCAGTAGGCGGTCCTTCAGGGAGTTGATCTCGTCCTCGTACTCACGTACCTGAGGAAGAATAACAAGAAACATGTTCAGCTTTGGAGACTATCAGTGGTAATCACAACTGATGGGAAAGTTGGGTACCTACTACTATGTTGAGCTGTACACCTCCACCACAAAAAGATGTTTTATTTGGATTAATGTATTTCCACTCTAGAAACAAGGTTCCAGAAAACTAGTGACAGAACCACAAAGTATGTGCATTTCCTGTTAAGGAACCAGGAACTTCATGAAAGTACCAGAACTGTTTTCTATTCCTAGAGTGAACCATGCGTAGGGATTTTCAGATTTTCGTTTTATTAATTCTTTAATGCCAAACGGAACTATCAGTAAGAAGGAAACGTCTTCTATACACGTAGATTTGCAGTGAAACAAATGTCCTGCATTGGAATCCTGATTATTTAGCAGGGAGCCTTCTCCCACTCTAATGGCGGCCTCTGGACGTCTGTGATGAGCCAGGATCCGATTGCCATCTGTCCAGTAATACCAGACATGACTCAAAGTTCTGGCATTCTTAAAAAAACATGAACGTTATTCAGAATTTTCCCTCGTTTGGAGGACAGTTTGGCTGACTGACAGCGATACCTACCCTGTCCATGCGTGACTCATCCATGCTCTTGGAGTATTCCTTCAGCTTGAAATCTTCACGGTCAATCCTAGAGCTCTCAATGTCAGCGGACAGATGAGGCATGTTGGACACCCACGCCACAGTCCGCTCATTGGCTGGGGTTGGAGGATTGAGGGTGGATGGAGACTGAGAGCCCTGGAAGAAAAGTCACAACATTGGAGATGAGAAAATATTCATCCTCGCCAAGGTCAAGCTCCAAGAATAAAAATTATATTTTATGCAGGATTTGACAACAAATACTAATAAGTTGAACTAACTATTTGTCAAAATTTAATTTGTTAAAATTGTACTTAAAAATAAACAGGTTCAAGTTTCAAGAAGGTCATTTCTGGATATTAATGTATGAAACCGGAGCAGGGAAGATGGCTTTGTTTTTCAGGCATTCTTTGACAATGGTTACACTAAAGTAAAATGTTCTCAGACCTCTCCACACAGACTAAAATCCTGGGATTTACCACTCACTACTAGGAACTATTGATGACTCTCCAAAGACCACTGAAACGTCTTTGACTAACAGTTATGAAGGACCTAACCTTGACGATTGAGAATATTTACAGACAAACTGCTTAATTTATTTACAGGGTGCAGACGTCACCTGTTTGCTCATGGTGGGTTTGAGAAGATGCTGCTGCTGCTGCGGCTGCTGCTGCTGCGGCTGCTGCTGCTGTGGTGACTGTTGGGTACTCTGACTGGTAGTTCCCTGTGGACTCTGGCTTTCCCTTACGGAGCTCTGCTGGTGGGGCAGACCAGGGGCAGTGTTGTCTTTAACTGACAGCTGCCGGGGTCCGTGCTGCCTGACCCCGTAGGCGGACTCTGGCGATTGGAGGAGATTCCCGCTCTGCGGCCTCGTTTTAGCCGGAGCGGCGGGAGCAGCGGCCGAACTGACCGACAGCTGGTGGGAAGTTTGAGATTTGACACGTTGAGTGGGAGGTGGGGCCACAGAGCTCTGGCGCACAGGTTGGACTGTGGTAGGGGGTGTGGCAGCCAGGGAGGAGTGGGAGGTCCCTGTTTGGGAGGTTATGCCCATCATTTGTTGCTGTGGTTGGAGGTTGTCCTTCAAGAAATAACAGCAGAAATTAAAAATAGTATTTGAAAGGTTTTTAAGGGCACTTTAACAAAAAGGTATTGATAAAAAACAAGCAACCATTACAAATATACAATTCTAAAAATTGGACAAATTGAGTACAGGTAAACCATGTGGACATATAAAAGAGCATCCGCTAAATTTTGTGAAGGATAAAATATAGATTTAATAAAAAGTAACATAGAACACGGAGATGATTACAACTGATGTAGACAGAAAGGTGCCAAATAAAGTACTAGTAAATACTGAAAAATAATAACAGGCTACCAGAAAAAAAAAAATCGACTTTTTTTGCCTGAAAATAAAAAAAATGTATATGATCAATAAAACATAATTATACATCTTGAAAATAATCATTTTAAGAAAGATAAGAACTTTCTCACGGCCAAAAGGCCTTGATCTAAGAAAAGCAACAATACTTCACAATGTTTGAATTACTGAAGATTTTAATATATATTTTGATGTAATCTCACATCAAAACATCTCTACTGAATTATGTTATTCACTGCGAAAACTTAGAGTGAAAACAAAATGTTGCTTTTATGAACCATGAAGCTGAGGTTTGCAGAAAAGCGGGAAATTAGATGTTGAATACAGAAAACGTCGAATTAAGCAGAAAATGAGAACAACTCTGTTTTTGTTTTGCAAAGCAGCGTCTGCTCCCAGAAAACAGAGTTGAAGGCCTTACAGCCTAAGCCCAGCTTGACTTGAATGGATGTCTTGTTAGTGATTGATATTAATGAGCGCCACACCTCGGAAAAGTTCAGTCATTTACCTGCACATGCATGGACATCTGCCTGCGTCCGTAGTCGGCCCTGGTGTAGTCGTCGCTGTAGCTGTGTGAGTGGATGATGCTGGGTTGGCCCAGGTGACCGTCCCTGGTCCTGAGGGTCGACAGGTCCTCGCTCCTGGAGAAGCCCCCGTGGGCAAACTGCGGGATGTAGGCCTGATGCGAGGGCTCGGGCTCTGGAGCCAGGAGCAGGGGTGCGGGGGGTTGGGCCCGGCTGTGCTGGTGGTGGAGTTGTTGCTGCTGAGGCCCGTCTGCGGTCGCCAGATGAAAGAGCGGGTTCTGGAAGGAAAGCGGGTAGCGCATGGCGGCGGCCTGCTGTTGCTGCTGCTGGGATAGCGAGTCGGTGGTGGTGCCCATCTGGGTCAGCTGGCTCAGCCGGAGGCCGCCGGACATGCTGGAGCCGCCGGAGCCAGCTGACAACCGCCCACCAGCCCGCAGCTGGCTGCTCAGGCCCGAGCCCAGGCCGCCGCCGCCTCCGCTGCTCAGCCCTCCGAAGCTGCCCATGCCAGCGATGGAGGCCTGGGAGGAGTTGAGCATGTCCACCGACTGCAGGTTAGACACGCTGTTCATTCGGGATTCCTGGAGGTCCATCATACACACGCTTTTACTGACACTGAGCACCTAATTAGTTAGGGGTATCAGAGGCTACTACGCCAAAATGTTAATTTTGCTATGTTAGGGTGGCCACGGATGACATGGGTGAGGGTGGTGCGGGTGTTTTTACCGCGAGGCCTGGATATCGGAATGCCTCAAAGTATTTCCCAGGAAATACCGCTAGGATGAGTAGCGTGGTGAATTCAGTGGAAAGAAAGGCAGATGTCATGATATTCTACAGCCTTGATCACAGGATGGCAGATTCTATTTACGTATGACCGACATGCACGTCATACTAACACCTCAGATTCATATATCTAGCAGATGGAGTGATAATTCCGCGAGTTAGAGTGGAAAAAACTCACCTTGGGATCCGGTTCAGTGATGTCCGAGCTGCTTGTGCAGTAGGCCGGGCTGGATCTAGCGAGGGGAGGACGGGAAACGTAAAACATGTCTTTGGACGGGGCTCGATGAAGATGGTCGCGGTCCTGGAAACTCATCTGGGTGCGGGATGGCATTACTCCTCCAGTTGAGGTGGGGGAGGGCAGGCGAGTTATGTCTATGGAGCTGGAGAAGATGGAGGAGGGATCTGTTTATCTGCTGTTGGCAGTTTACTGTATTTCAACATCCGCTTGTTTTGAGGAGTGAACGTTGGCAGACATAGTTTCTCTTACCTATTGAGGTCCCTCATCATCAGATTCTGAAAGTCAGACGAGATGCCTCTGTTGAAACAAGGCCGCGACAGCAGGCCTAGTTTCAACAGAGGCATCTCTGTCTGTCTGTCTGTCTGTCTCTCCTGCACTCTGTCCGTCTGATGGCTGGGCTGCCGCTGGAGGTGAGGATTACGCAGCGCCATGCTGATGTCATTCAGGAGGCGGGGCAAGGGACCCAGTTTAATGATAGCATCCTGTGGTCAGAACAATAGTATCTAAAGTTACAGTGTTACCTAACTTGTTTTTCTGACTCTTTCATTTTGAATAAATGGTGAATTTAACTATGGTAATTTAACTCTTAATTCAACTTAATTAGTAACCCCACAGCAGGAACAGTTCATGGCAATAGTAGCAAATGTTGAACAGACTCGTGACAGATGCGTAAAACACGTAATTATGGCACATCCCAAAAATGTATAGACGACGACACATTGCCAACAGTGAGTTCCCTTATATAATATTTTGTTCATCAGCGCATTGTTTTAAGGTGTGCACTCATTTTCCATTTATGTCGATCATCACTGTTGATTTTTATGTAGATGATACACTCATCTACATCTACGTAGATTTTTTTTAGAATAACTGCTTTTTTAGTTCAAGAAAAGTGCGGTAGCAAATGTTATGATAGCTATGATAGTAAAAAACATGTAAAATATCTCCATATCTGCAGGTGATAAGCCTTTAAAAATCTAAAAATTATAATTCCCTTGCTGCTGCTGTTATTGATCAAAATGTGAGTGGAACCTTTGGGTTTACCTTGCTGAGCTGTGCTATGACCTCCCACAGCAAACTGTGCAGAATGGAAAGTTCTCTGCCCAGATCTATGTAGCCCTCGAAGCCACCTGCATTGCTGACACTTTCTAAATTGGAGATCTCATAGAGGAACTGCTGCATGGAGCCCCACTCCATCTCTAAAAACTCATTCATAAAGCACATGTACTCTTCCTTACTGCCAAACCTGCAAAAAAAAAATGGGGGAAAGAAACACTTGAAAGTGACCAGGTTGTAAGGGGGGAAACAAACACTTGAAAGTGACCAGGTTGTAAGAAAAAGGAAGGAAACAAAATGAAAACACAACACACTTGGAGAAGTTTGCCAGATTTTGCACGACTTTGGCAATGAGGGTGAGCGTGCGTGACGTCTGCTCATCGGGATACTCCTGGGTGAGGTTAAAGAGGGAGGGGGACATGATGGCGGGACACAGGAATCGCAGGAAGAGCGAGCTGCTGATGAGGCGGTCGGCGATGTCTTCGCGGCCTCTCTCTGCACAGCGCACTCTCCAGGAGGCAAAGACTTCCTTTAGCTCTCGGGGGAAAATGCTGTGAAATGGGAAGATGCTGTAGGTTATGACAATGCAGCAGCATCTCCAGGTTCTGGACGTACCAGTGACAGACTCTGGATCCACACAATACAAAGGATTTTAATGGTAATTTTTCTACTCACCACTGGGAGTTGACAATCTTGCAGAGTGCCAGCTCGCAGCACATTCGGAGATTGGCTTGGTGGTCGGGCAGTACAGACGGTGGTATTCTCATGGGGTCCACTTCACAGTTTTCCTCTGACTCGTACAAGGCTCTTATAAATTCACCTGAAATGACATTACAACATCACATTAGCTTCAGCAGAATGACTGCAATGACCAGTTCATTAAGTTAGCAATGTCTAAAAACAAACGACAAAACCAAACCAGATGTCGATCTGATGTCGATAAATTGAAAATATTCAGTGAAGCTTGTGTCCACCAATGTCTATAAGTATGAACGCCTTGTTATTTCTCATATAAAAAAAAATCTATGATAAGGCTTAACTATTAGATAAAAGCTGAAACAATTAAAGTTAAAGAACTGTAAGAAGTACATATTACTCTAAAATACCCCCCCCCAAAAAAATGCTAATAAAATAAATAAATGATTTAAAAGATAATAAAACCTAAATCCTACCTAAGAGTTGTCTTAAAGACACAGCTAACCCTAATATCAGCCTGGAAAGTCCTTAAGTTTGGCAAATAAAGCTTAGAGTTGCCAAAAAATTGGCTTTAGGTTAAAATGCAAACATTTACAGGCTAAGACGAGTAAACAGTGACTCCTCAGTAGCTGAAAAACTGCTTCAGTATACGTTCCAGATAGTCAATGGTCAGGATGGCTGAGAAACGTTTAAAGCTACTGAGTTGAAATTAGAAACATTTGACTGAACATAGACTTACAGCATGTCCTACAAACTCCCCGAAGGTTTCTCTCTGGATTGGGAACTTTGTGTCGACGGCTGCACACCTGATACGAGATAAAGAATTAAAGTGTTCCCTCTCACCTATAGCGTCTTTGAGGTACTTGTGTCCGATCAGTTTGAGGTACTCTTCTATGGCTTTGGTGGCCAGAGTGTTCTCTCTGAAGATAAGGTGTTCCCGGTCGATGAATCTGTCCACCTCACACATGGCCATGTCTGAGAGGAAATCCTGGAAAACAAGGAAAGTGTTTTACTCAACTCTTGTGTTGACAAACTAACAGATGAATAAGTCTTCCTCTCATCAGGTCAAAGAAGGTCAAATCATCAGGGTTCCATTAACCTTCCTGAATCATGCTGGTTAACTGTCACATTGCCCTGAGCATAAAAATAACTATGCTGCGCAAAGGGTCCCGATGTCCTCAGCTTTGATTATTTGGTAAAAGTGAACCTTTGTGCCTTTCAGTAAACAGAAGGCAAAGTAAATGGGTCCATACATACTCTAGGTGGCCATATTAAATAACAATAATATCCTCCTGCATCACAGGTGTTCTCCCAGCGGTGTAGGCCTATAAAAATCACTAAGGATTAATTCAAAACATTACCAAACTTTTGTGGAAACCTGCTTGGTATTCATACCTTCGCTTTCCCTGTGCTCTGTAGTATATGCACCAGTGCACAGGCCACTTCCTCTTTGCTCTTGACGCTCAGCACCGGCTCCAACACTGCACAGAGCGTGCGGTAGTTATTGGTGACATACTCGGCGAACTCCTTGTAGAGCTCCATGGGCAGGATGTTCATGGTCTGGAAGCGGGATTTGAGGCGTAGGGATGCGTTGATGATCTTTCCTCCTCCTACTCCAGCTCCTTTAGTGAGGACGCTGGGCTGGATGACCGGATACCACTGCTCCACAAACTGACGTCCAGTGATGCTTGAAATGGGGATGCTGACCAGTCCTAGATATGTGCTCTTTTCCTTTGTCAGATAGAAAACAAACAGAGCCTTTTACTATAATAAACAGGTTTCCAGCAGATGTTCTGGGCAAAACACTTCATCTTTATCATTTAAAAACTAGCAGGTGAATTGATTTCTGTGCTTTTACAAATGTAACTGATCGTATCTGAGACTCATTTCAGTTTAATTTTGCTTCAAAGTGTATATTAAGGAAAGGTAAACCTAAAATCTCATTTTTACAGCCGAGTACCACAAACCTCCACTGGGGTTTTATAGATGTGTTTATGACAGGCACTTCTCGCTTCATTTTTATGACCATAGACTTGTTTTAGAAACAGGCTCACTGCCTTTTATCGTCGTTCAAAATCACAACTGTATTTTTTTAGAATAATGTCCTCATTAGAGATAGTCTAATGACTGTGTGCTTCACCTTGCGTCTCTTCTTGTCCGTCTCCTTGTACAGATGAAGGCGAAGGTTACGGACAGCGGGGAGGTTGTTGAATTCAAAGTGCTCGCCCCAGAACACCGTGTCGGTCCGGGGCTTGCTGGTGGTGCGGGCGTACAGCATGTCGTCCAGACAAAGTTCGCAGTAATAGCGTTTCTTGGCTGGAAGCTCGCGGGCCTCGATGATCCACAGTTTGAGCACATTGTCAACCCTGCGACTGTTGTCCTGCGTGGAGGAAGAGCCACGGTTCAGACAAGGTCAAGTGCATCTAAAAATAAAGGCTGATTAAACGCCTTTGTACAGAGAAGATGTGAATGACAAATACCAGAGGAAAAGGAAAAAGACAAGTGGCAGAGAGTGTGGGCACAGTAGGAAATGGCTGCTGACATGCTGGCTGAGTTTCTGCTGATTGAACACTGTACTTGATGCATTGCTATGAACTCTGGACTTGAAAGAGAGACAGAGGACAGAAATGAAAAGACGAAAAAAAAAAAAGTTGTATTCCTTATGTACTGTATACCAACACAGAAATGACACAAATATCATGTGCTGCACAGAGAGAAAACAAACAATGGTGGTGGCGTTCCTAACAAAATCCAAATAAATGTTTGCTTCAGAATATTTCAGCAGTACGTTCAAAAGCATCAGCTCGTTGGTTGGTTCTTTATCGTAGAATTGTTTTGCTCCTTAGATATCGAGCTGCGAACAGGAGACGTAATTAAATCCACACCTCTGAGTTTGAACACAGTGCGCATCTGGTGGCTCCATTTGCCAGTGAACATGCAGTGCAGACGGATCAGCACAGACCCAAGGCCTCCTTCCTTCATATCATGTTACATCTTACTCCATTTCTGTCTTTTACTCTGACAAATCTAATAAAACTGTGAGTCAGGACGAAGCTGGTGGTTTGAAAAAAAAAACAAAACAACCACAGTCAAAGCTCAAGTTTTTAAAGGGCCTCATGAGGACCGTGTGTCTCTGCAGTGGCTCTTATCTCTGTCAATGCGTCTGCTGCAGGATGCATGCTGCATGTTGTTCAGGGACGGGGGGACGAGGGGAGTCCTTGGAGCTCAATGACTCAGCCAGGACCTCCTGCAGACAGAGCATCTGGACCAGTGTTCAGCTACAAGGGTGTTTCATCTGAGTTTGATTTAAGAACTTTTTACACCCTGGTTTCCTGAGCTACATTTCTTAAATGCCTTTTTCACATTTTTAATAACACATTCAACCGAGCTATGAATTCTCCAAAGTCATCAAAAAATGACTTTTGTAAAAACAAATCATATTAAACGTCATCTAAAACTTAGGGAAGAGAGGGATTCTGAGACTTGGGAAATTACAACATCTGAAGCAACACTAGAGGAAGACAAATTATATGGACTTTTTTATCTCATTAAATGTCAAAATATGGGGAACGCAGCTTAAGGCTGATCACGACAAGTGCAGGTCGATTTGTTTTTTTATTACTACTTAAGAAAAAGCAGTGCCAAAATTACAAAAGAAAAAAAATATTAATCAAACAACTCTGCCAATTTTACAAACCCCACTTTTGATATTTTTGGAATTATAATCAAAATTGGTCTCATTTGATAAAGCACATGAGCCTTCAATGTTCAAAATCTTTTCAGTCTCTTTTCAAAAAATATAAATGACAAAATGGAACCGCCTTCTAACCCAAACTGAGGCTCATAAATGGGATCAGTTTTTACAGCCGTCATTTTGTTCTGCCGAAGAAGACTTAACTTGCAGCAGAATACAAAAATTAATTTCAAATTTTTCATAAACTTCCACTCTTTCAGATACACTTCTACACTTGGGAGAACTGTTGAATTTTGACATTTGCATCACCATGTTTGAGTTAGAGCTCTGTGAATGTTGCCTTTATGAATTCCTCCACAGGTTCAACAAACAGAGCCCAGTTAATCGAACCAAAATATCGCAACAGGTGTAACGCAACATGCAGTTACTAATAACCCATTCTACTTAAACACATCTTACGGACACTGGAGGTGAGGTGACACTTTGCATTGTCAGACTAAAACGTGAACAGTTTCCGCTCCTGAAGAAGATGTGACGTGACGATGGCGCCACCAGCATTAGCGTCACCACCGCACAACGGCGGAGTGAGGAAAACTCCTGTTCCTTTCACTGAACAGTCCCTCCAACAGGCACAGTCGTTACATCGGTCTCATGTGAGTGACGTAAAAATCAAACAAAGTGCATAAAAATGTTCAGACAGAAGTTGCTTTGAAAAACATTGGACAACGTATATTTAGGTGGCTTGTTCCAGTCTTGAAAACAACAATACTTCACCTGCAGTGTGAAAGAACACCAGTTACAGGTACAAGTATTGATAAAATTAAATTATGATTCATTAATCAAACATGTTCTCTTAGATTTAGCACTCGATCCACTTCGCTCCAGTTTTCAATTTGAGGATCAGAACCTCTGACAGAGGAAGCTCTTGGACTCTGGCTGATGAATGTGTGACCTCTCCTCTCTGTGGTCCCACCAGGGACATGCTGTGCTGGTAAATGTGAATGTGCTGACCTCCAGTGATTTACACCGTATAACCATGTTCACGTTTGCTAAGGATTTTTTTAATGATTTTTTTTTTACCTTGAAAAAGCGATTTCAGTTTGCTGCACCCTGCAGAATTACCTCATGGAGCTTTGATATTTGCAGGGAGAAAACAGTAAACTGTTGAACACAGACACACACAGAGACGAGGATGGAGTTCACACAGAGAAATGAAGCGGTGCCAACGCATTGGAAACAGACAACAACGGGAGACAGGGAGGAGAGAGAGAGACACACAGACAGAGGGATCATCTGGTTTTTAGGTTGGTTTTTTTTTGGTTCCTCTACCGCATCCCTTTCTCTCCCCTCACCTTGTTGGGCTTGACAGCTCTCTGCAGGTTCTCGATCCATTTGTCTCTCTCGGCAGCCGAGCGACACGCAAAGCACTTGGTTCCTGATGCCGTAGTCACCTGAGGTTACAGATTTCAACAACCACAGCCTTTAGTCACTATGGAGACCGAGACTCAGGGGCCAACACAGTGTGATGCACTCACTCTCACCCCTCACGTCGTGGTCCGCTAATGGAGAGGTGATGCAAACGCTCACAGAGTCCTGCAGCTAATTGAGCAGGGACTGATGCTCATTTCCACACTCTTTGCCCTTTACATTCAAAATGTATTCATGAAGTACAGTTCAGAACATTGTGTTTTCTTTTTTCTACTCTGGACACTTGACCACTGTCTGTGACTATGGTTCCACAAAGAGAATGTCAAAGTTGGATTAGTGTGAAAATACATGGTAAAATGATGTTATGCTATATGATGAGGCTAACATATGTACTGTTGATATTTTATTTCTCAATTTACAGTTAGCGCCATGCTGATTTCTTTTGACTAACTTCACAATTTAGGTGCATTTTGAAAATGTATATATATTTCTGAAAGAAAAAAAAAAACAATTTCCTAGTTTGGCTTTGTCACTTGTTTGTCTTGTGCAAATGTCATAAATCTCCCGATTTTATTTTATTTTGTTTACCTTAATAACACTGCGAGACCTTTCTGAAAAATAAATTGATGCACAGGCGACCCCACGTTGTAAGCTCCTTCTTCTACTTCTTTTTTCTGAGAATTAATCAACTTTAGGCATTGTTACACAGATTTTTAATTTAACACCTGATGAATAGCAGGACTCCAACAATGAGAATTAAAAAAAAGTTAGATATTGAAACAGTTCCTGAACTGTGCACTGCTGCAGTCTCACCTCAAAACAGTACTCCTGTCCCAGGATGCTGGAGTGGACGGGTTTGATGATGGCGTCTTCGTCCAGGGTGAGGTCTAGAGCTTCAGCTGCGGTGCTGGGGGACAGCAATGACTCATGGGAGTGTGACTCTTTGAAGCTCTGCATCAAACGGGTCCTGGAAGGATGAGAGAGTGTGTGGTTAGTGTGAGAGAAGAGGAAGAGGTGAGCTCTTTCAGGAGAGATGATGTGTGGTTTTTATGGCTTTGTGCGAAGATATCAAAAGACCAGGTTTATTTTTGTCTGAAAATGGTAGTTACATGTTAATGGAATTAAAACAACAACAACAACAACATTAGGGTTATTACTTGTTACTCTTGTGAACTAAAACACTGTATTAGGGTTATTCCTTGTTACTCTTGTGAACTAAAACACTGCTGCTGAGACACAAAAGAATGAGTCAGATTTATTGGGAAGACAGAGATAAGGAGAAGATGAAGAGGCAATAAGGGGATGAAGAAGACAGGAAAACAGATAAGGTAAAGAAGGGTCAAGGTAAAAGGAATTATGTAAAGAAAGTGAAAGCGTGGATTAGACTGATTAAAGTACGACAAAGAGAGGTCACAGGAAGTGAAGAAAGAATTGACAGAAACAAAAACAAATCTGTGAACTGATTTCATACTGGCCCTGAACACATCTTCCCAGATCTGTTTCAGGAACATTTCAAGTAAAGGTACTTGAAAAGTGACTGCTTTCAGTAAAAGTGTACTTGTTACCTGGTTTGAATATTTTGACCATTGCTTTTGTCTAAATCCGTGCACACTTGCAGCTATATTCTAATAGTATTAAAAATCAGTGACAAACGTTAACCTTTCTGGTTTTTACCTATAGAGTTTTTCAGCCCAGTGTCATTTACTGTATATTTTGACCTACTTTAGGAAGTGTTAGGCTAATCACTGGCAGGGATTTGAGCAACGTTAGAAGTAACTTAAACCTATCTTTTGGACATTTATCCTTTATGGGCTAACTGGCTCAGTTTAGGTTACTGTGAGTGTTAACTAGCTGTTAGCTATTTTGCTTTGTACTGCTGCTGATTTATTCTTCCATTTCACAGTCTTATCCAATTAATTAACTATAGTAAGTCATTTCTAGCCATTTTTTTCTATTTTGTCTCACTTTTACACACAACTGTAATAATGATTGGGTTTCTTTTAGCAAACTAAAAAAGTATTGCAGCTTTTATCAGACCAGTCAAGGTTACTTTCAAGTCACTTTTAAATGTAATATTTGTCCAAATTCATGCCTGTATATATTTCATAGCAGTTTTTAAGCTATTGTTAAACTTATATATAGCTAACCCTAACTTTTGCTTTTGCCAAACTTTTATTTACCTTTTGATTCAATGTAAAAAGTCAATGCTGCTAGCTAATGATTCAATTTCAGCTCGGTGTTTTAAAGCTTTTGTTAGCTTATTTCATTGTATCAGCTAGTATTGAAAAGAGGGCCCTCCAGAGGGACAAAAAAAACAATGACAGCATAAAGTGTTTAACCGGATCTTAAAGTAATCATAGAAAACCGTTTAGTTAATTTAATTTAAATTTAAATCAAATATTTGCTTTTTTTGCAGCTTCCACGTGTGAGACTCGTTCAACTCTCCTCTGAATTAATTTGATAATAACGACGCAGACTTTCTTAGGTTTTCTTATAAAACATAAACAAACAGCTGGTAATTATTTTTTCAGTCGAATGACAACAATGGTATATTCGTTAAGTTCACTCCACTGAGAACCAATTTTGGGCGATTGCAAACTGATGTCAAAGAAGAAATAATAATAATAGCAATTGTTGGCTAGGTCTGACAAATGGAACATAATCACTGTCAGGGTCTGCAGCTATGGGGCTGATTAACCATCTCCTTTTTTGAGCAAACATGTTGTGCTACCTATTTGGCATTTCTGCATTTTAATCAATTTCCGGGAAAGAATAAATGGACTTGTGGCACAGTAGCTGCTTTTTAAGGCTTACTTAATATTTTCTGGGTTTATTTTAAAAGTATAAACCAACCTTTAATTTCCCCTTATTTTAACATTCTTAAAAAACAACTTATTTATATATTTAATATATTTCAGAATTTTCATCCTGGCTTTTGTTTTATTTGCTATGATGGGATTTATTTTAATAATAATAAATATTATTATACTAAAAAATATTTTATTTTTATTTAGTTCTTGTAGTAGGCATCAAGGCTTAATTATTTACATTATATTAATATTTAATTTTTATTTCTACTGAATAACCTAAATTATAATACACTAACATAACGAGACATGTTTTCTTAGTAGGACACTGTCATATGTGACTCCTGACTCCTGCTGTGGAGATCCACAGAAGTTCCCAACAGGAAACATCCCAAGTGTGCAAAATGGAAATGAAGTATGAAGCTCAGCCGACAACCTCCACTTCATAAGACGACTTTGTCCACGTCTCCTCAGCCTCAACGCGGGAGAATAATAGACATCTTCAACCTTCCCAGATGAATAAATCATGTGGAGAGGCTGCTGGGTACACATCTCCTGACTGCACTCTCACCTTGTGTGAGTATTATCAAGATGACCTTGTTCTTGCCTGACGTTTGAAAAGATTCGGGCTGTGGCTGCACAGTGGGAGGAAATTACTGCTAAATCTGCTAAATCATTTACTGTGGGAACAGAGAATTGATTAGGAGTTATTAAGTTATCATTAATGCATGTGAAGCCTGGTGCGCACTTGGAGAATTACACATTCTAAAAGTTTTTCAATGCATGAACACTGAAAATGTCACAAATGAGGTTTGATATGTGGCTCGTAGCAGAGCTCAGACGAGGCATTTGAGTCATTTTGTTGCCACTTCCACAGTCACACGTTAAAATTATACATTTGGAATGTTGAACAGCCTACCTGGAAAACACCATTAACCCCCATCGGAAATAGGAATCAACCAGAAAATAACATAAAGATCGATAACCCACCCAAACATTAGCCATAACTCCAACAAAGCAACTACAACTAAAGCATAAAATTGGCAAATGACATTAAAATAGTTAACAGATAAGGATAGGTTAACAAAATAAACATGAGTTTGTTCAAAGATTTTTCATTTAACAGTCCAGTAAGAGTCTTTACTGATTTTACCAGTACGACGGAATTTGGACTTTGCTCCATCTTCTAGACAGTTGATTCTTCAACTCTGTCATAATATCCAGCATTAACTGTTCCATGTCCTTTTAAAACCATAATAAATTAGGAATTGCTTCTTCTAAATTCCAGAAACCTGTCCCTATAACATTTTAAACTGATCTCTCTATTTCAAACCTTCATTTTGGATTTTTAAAGCTCCATAGTCTACAGCTTCCTCATTCAGAAGCTCCTCACCTTTGCCTTGGCTACTGATGAACTCCCTTGGCCTGACAGTGTTCCTGTCTACTTGTCCCTGACTCTCCCACTTTTTCTTAGCTGTCTTCTGAATGAAGTCCTGTCCATCTTGATTCCTCCACCAACTTTCCTTATCATCGCCAACCCTAAGACCTTCCTCACCACCTTAGCTGTCCTCTCCCAGTCTTCTGGTAGTTCCTCTCTAACCCAAGAGCATCTCTCAACTGGACTCTAAGCTCTCTCCAACACTCCTACTGCCCTTTACTCTTTTGTAAAAACTGACAGTAAAACAACTAATATTCCATTAACTATCATATTCCTCTGATGTAATGCACACATATTCCGGTGTGCGCTGACATGATAGACAACTCTGTACATGATACAGGGATGGTATAATTAAGTAAATCTCCCACCGACTCATTATGGTCTGCAGAGCTGCCATATGGTTGTCAGCTGGTTGCCATAGAGAGGGGACGAGAGTGGGAGAGAGTGAAAAGAGAGGGAGAGAGAAAAAACGCCCAGTCCTTCATTTGGTTTGTGTCCAAGTGGGCAGAAAACGCGCACAAATTACGATGACAGACAAAAGAGAAAGGCTTAATGATGGCAAAACAACGACAGGTACGGTTTTATGTATTACTTTATAATCATCTTCATTTCTTGCTGTTTCTCATCCCTTCTCCTGTCGGTTTTAAGCCAGAAGCAGCTGCTGGAAGTGAATGAATCCACATATTCACGATCTCAGACACTTACCTGTCTTGGTCAGCACTGCGGAAGCGGGGAAGAATCATGTGGCGGAAGCTGCTGGTTCGGTCCAGTTTGGGCTGACTCTTGGCCCTCTTGATGGAGCCCTTCAACCTTCTACTGAGGAAACTCTGGAGCACGTGGAGGAGAAAGAAAAGGAGGAGAGCAGCGACGAGGAGAGACAGATGGGAGACACGACGCGGGATGTGCGCAGTGGCAATGGGTCAGCGTGAAGAGGAGAGTCAAATCAAGGTGTGTTTTCAAGGAAGGAAAACACAGATGATGTGTCAGTGAAACACAAACAAGATGAGGAATGATGCATGATGGGAAAGAGCAGAAGGTACATTTTATTATCCACTTGAAGTTTCATGTGTCGTTCACCTCTACACTGCGATGCACTGACAGAACCTGCAGTGGGCAGTAATGAGATACACAAATGAGTGGAGCAACAATCAGTGTCTAACACTGAGCTTCCAATCTGAAACTGTCATGTGTTGAAAAAACAACAACAATAAAAAAAAAACAGTCTCAGAGGCTGTACCAAAAAAAGATTTACTTTAGAGGACGAATATACGCTACTATCTGTTGCAATACTCCGGAGCACTTACACAGATACAAATATTCACTGGTTTTATTGAAGGTGTTATGTTGTGTAATAAATTGTGAGCCTCGTGAGTCATTTTGCCATTAGAAGGTCTGACACACTTTTATGGTACTTCAGTCCCTTAAAGTGATAGTAGTACTAGCAGTAGTCGTTGTTAAAATTTTACAAAGCGGCTCTTCATTAATTATGATTATACAAAGTTTTTACAAACTCTTCATTAATTATGATTATACAAAGTTTAAATCTGTCTGTTTTTTTTTTACTTTGATTAGATTATTTTAAACAACCCACATTTCCAAAAAGTCTCCATGCCCCAAATTTGGGAAACTTTGGAACGAATGGTTATTTCTAACTTAGCCTGTCATGATTGATGACAAAAAAAGGCAACGTTAAGGCGTACTACCGAAGTTCTTGGACTAGAGATTAATGGGAAAAGGCCTTACGGAGTGACAAGGCTATGATGGAACCTTCCGGTTGCAATATCTGTATGTTATAGTAGTGGGAGAAGGCCAAAAAACTTCATCAAAACAGTACTGTAATCTTTGGGTGCTGCATTCAGCCTGATGTGTTAGCCTGATGCTAATACTACTGCACTTAATTTTGTGTCACATCTTTAACTCTTTAAGACAAACCCAGAGGCAACGTCTTACACAGAGTCACAATTTCAAAACGTTAAAAACAACGGAATTTAAACTGATACACATCAGTAGATGATGACAGACACTTGTTCTGTGTCAAACTAAAGACTAAAAGTATGTCTCAATTTATCTGTCCGTTTTATCTGGCTCTCAGCTCTATGTGTTCCCTCTACTGTACACCCCCAAGTCTCGTGGGGAGATCGTTTATGGACTTGTAGCGTGACAGGAGGGGTCAGAGGAAGAATGACTGCAGGGAAATGACACCTCGTCATCTGGAATGAGTCAAATGGTTTTGAAGCCTGTCTGAGGGAAATGACTAAAGACTTGGCTCCATCTGCTGGTTCCAGGCTAATAGCCTGCATGACTAAACTTGATGTGATTTGCCGCTCCGTCTGACACCTTTAAGTCTAGAAAAGTAACGGAAAGGAACTCTGAATAACTAAAAAAAAAACAAAGAATAACATGTGGATGATCGAGTGGAAAAAAGCCTTCTGCTGCTGCTGCTGCGTCTTGACATAAGCTTGAAGGAGATCACTAGTGTCATTCAGTGTTTTTGGCTCATTTATTGCTGTCTACATTTGTAATGAGATATTCATTTTTCAAAGCAGAGGTTGTCAAACGTGGTTTAGAATGAGCTGCGGTGTGAAGGAGCTGCAGCAGGTTTGCGATGGCAGGTGAGGTTTGGCTTCTCCTGAGCAGAACTAATGAACACAGAAGGTGAAGAAATTACAGGATATAATATCAAATTATGCATATACTGGGAGTCGCATCATCATATACTGTATTCATTTCACAGTACTATAAAACGCACAGCGCTAATATTCAAGATACATATGGTATTTGTTCAATTGTGCTACATTTATTTACCATCCGTCCAAGAGGTTTTTTGGCAACGCATATAACAGAATAATTACCTCAATAAATCACCAACGCTTTTTTTTAGTTGTGGTAATTTATCGAGGTCATTATTCTGTTTTATGCTCTCTTCGTTCTTTCTCCACTGCAGATCTGTTAAACTTCCCATCAGCACTGCAAACTGTTGATGTTACTTCCTGTCAGACTGACTGCATATACTGTCCGAATGTCCAAATACATGTTCCTTACTAACCTCAAGTACTCCCCTGCCACTCCTATCACACCCCCACAGTTCCTATCCTGGCACTGCATATTTTGTAGATTGTTTAAATAATTTTTCTCTTTGCCGTCCATCATTCTGCACTATTTTGTAGATTGTTTAAATCATTTTTCTCTTTGCCGTCCATCATTCTGAAAGCACACATTATGTACATAATACTTACCATGGCAACACGACCCACTTCTGACAGAATACAAATACAGACTGTCATGTTGATTTCTATATTCTCTGACTGTATGGCCCACTGAAGATAATGACAGCTAACCCTGATTACCCCAAAGTGTGTCAATGTGATCATTACTACAGTGTCTCTGCTTTACCCAGGTCACATGAGTCACATACCTCCACAGACGGCAGTGGAGCAATAAACGTCCCTCCCACCACTGGAATCGAACCGTCATCCCTCCAGTCTCCACCCCAGTATGAAAAGTGGGGGGAGGTGGGGACGGCAGGTGAATGGGGCAGGGTGTAAGACAGGGTTGGGGAGAGGGGCAGCGAGCGGGATACAGGGGGAGTGCTGAGCCCTTTCTTCGAGCCTTTTTGATGCTGCTGCTGCTGCTGCTGTTTCTGCTGGCTCAAGGTGAAGGAAGGGGACGCAGCCAAGGAGAGAGGGAAAGGGTGGGGCGGGCTGTGGCTGGCCCGATGGCCACCGTAGAATGGAGGAGGGAAGAGGGAAAGCGAAAAGGACGGAGGCAGTGAGCGAGGCCGGGTACAGGGAGGGCTACTCACGGATTGTCTGAAGGGTTGAAGGGGGGCGGTGGGAGAGACATCCATGCTGGGCTGCTTTCCTGTGGCTATGCTCTTCCGCCGGGGGCGATGATCTGAAGCAGAGAGAGAGAGAATTTAAGGATATTTAAAAATTCAAGGGGAACTTAGGAGAGAGTAAGAGGGCTGCCAAGAGGCGAGCCAAGGAGGTTATTAAATAAACTGATTAGGGTAGGAAAAAAATGGTTAAAAAATACATTTATGAACTTTTATATGAGAAATCGGTCGTTATAATATCAACAAAGGTTCCCGAAAACATTAGAATGATTCAGTAAAAAAAAGGACAAAACCAATAAGTGCCACAGATTAGATGGAGACGTATTGAGTCAGCGAGAAAACGAGCAGCCACAATACAGACCTATTGTTATGGACGCTTCTCTTTAAAAAAAAGACAAAGGTGGGAACATAATAGAGGTCAAAAGTGAGGGAGGCAGAAATAAAACAATTCCATGTCACTCACATCCACCAGCACTGCTGTTGTCGTGGCGTTCACTTAACACTCACATAAAATGTAAAAACACATGGCACTCCCTGCAGAGGTATGGAACTGACAAAGTGCGTTAGAGAGCGATGTGGAGATGGATTTTCTGTCTAGGTGTCGGATGAGGCTGTAAATGGTCTGCATGTTGAAGGGAGAACACAGGGGGAAGGAACCGGGAGATGCATGAATAGAGAGGAGCGAGCATTAAACAAACAAAGTACTTATTGACTTTCGACAGGCACTCACGGCCCGACCAACTGAACTGTCCAGTGAGAATATACTGGAGTCTGGGAGCCAGAGAGTGGGGACCCCTACAGGTCTTTGTGCGTATTTATTTAGATTTTTACTGGATGCTGATCGTGCTGAGATATTTCATCACTACTGTGGAATTCATTTCTTCTTATTAAGTTCTTTGTCACTCAAATTATAGCTTACAATGTAGAACGTTTTTTTTAACCGTTTATAACACACTCTAGATGGAGTCTAGTTACCTTTACAGTTTTATTTATTTTCATTGTTTTCAGCAATATCCTCAATCCTCAAAAAGGAATTTTAAAAGAAATCTGATGATGAACTTTTTATATTTCTTTAACATCAGTGCATTTCTAACTTTACTTTTTTTTTCTCCCAGACTGAAGCTCCATGGAAACGAACAGATAATTTGCTAAGTCTAACCTGAAATCAAGTCTTATTCACACACTAAGTACCATGTCACCCACTGGTGTTGACGTGAAGAAATGATTGCCATTCATTCTAAAGGGGAGACAAATTCATGTCAGTGAGCAACTGTCATCCCCACAGTTGCTAGGGTCATTTTAACCTCTAATGGAGGAGAATTTCACATATCCTTCAAAGTCACTCGGCTACAGCATCTTTCTTGTGAATACCACAAGAAAAAGATCAAATGAGGAGTCAAATAAACAGAGGTCCATACAGATCTATTCACGTTTCATATGGTTCCATTTTTTAAATAAAAAAGTAAAATAAATTAACTATTTTTGTCACAGAGACTATATTTTGCAGCAATAAAACCAGTTTAAACCTATTGAATAAACACGATACCAGTTGAGATGCTACTAGAGTTGTAATGTTTTTGCCTAAAAATGCATGTGTATGATCATCATACACTAAATAGGTTTAAAGGTTTAAAGCAATGTTGGAGTACGGCTGTGTCATCAAACCATCTCAGCCAACATCATGGAATTCCTCCAAAAAGGTGCCCAATAATCATTGACGTGGACAAGCTAATGCACAAACCTTGCAGTCTTAGGAAAAAGTATCATTTTCAGCTTAAGCACTATATTTTCTAACAAAAACAAACAGTGAGAATGGATAAGATAATCAATAAGGAACTGTATCGATAAGTATTGATAAGTGATATCGATGTTGAAAACGGTAAATTCTAAACTACTCCTATCCCTACTCATAGTAAATAATTATGGGTTGAAACCATTTACTAAAGGTCTGCATAACAAAACAACAGCATCTGCAATGTACATTATGTTCCAAGCGGCCTTAATAAAAAAATCTGCTCTGTCACCTGTCAAATTAGTTTTCTTGTCCTATCAAACGGCTCTGATAACACTATGTCTGAAAAGAAAAAACAAAGCTGTTTGGCTAGGCATGTTCAGCTGCGATGGTGTTTTGTTGAGGTTAGTTATTCCAAACCAGTTAGCAGTGGCTCACTTACGGTTAACCTTCCTCTCACAAATGTTACATACAGTATACGGAGCTTGGAGCATTCTCAGCTCACTGTGAAGTAGTTCAAAGCTAACGTCGTATTAGCCCCGGCTTATGACTCTGAGCTTCCTCTTCTGTTTTGAGGCAAAGAATGTGCAAAACCACCGGCTGCAACATACAGTGGTTACAGTACTTTTCAAAGCAGTGAATATGAGGAATCTGTTACAAACGTCTTGGTGCGAGAAACCACAGAACACTTTCAAAAGTCCATGATGTTTCAGGACAGTTTTGGGAACAGGAGATTAGAACTACAGAATATCATGAAGGTGGAAACAAAAAACAACAGTTTTTTCTTTTTGATAAACGTGGTTAAAATGAAGCACCTGAACTACATATTTTTCTGTGTTAGCAAAGAAATGCTCCGACACTGGTCCAGATTACGGAACAGTCTCTTATCGTTCAGAGGTGACCACCTGAGTAGAAGTCCCGCTTAGATAATGGTTTTTATCGCCTCCGGAATACGACGGGAAAATATCAAAGCCTCCTCTACATCTCCTCATGCATTTTTTCTTGTTTCCGCATGTTGTTTTTTGTGCCTTTGCATGAATTTCTCACATGTCAACATGAAAACCCCGATGCAGGGCTGAAGATAGGCTTATCTGAGCAGTTGGGTCTATCTCACACTGACTCTGGGTTTTGATGCTCTCTCTCTCTCTCTCTCTCTCTCTCTCTCACAGCCTCCGCTGTCACACTCCAACACACACACACATACACACACAAATACAAATCTCCCTTCTCCCACGCAGCTGTTCTACATAAATTAAAGTGCATTTGTTCCCCTCCCTCCCTTCTCCATGTGATCTCTCACTTTCTCTTTCCCCCGTCTCCGTCCTTTCATGTCCATCCTCTCATTATCTCTCTGCAGATTTGTAGTTCTTACATTTGTCTGTTTTCTCCAACCTTACTGTATCTCTAGGTATCTGTATTTTTTTTTTCATTTCCCCTTTTTTCCACCAGTCCATCTCCTCACTGCACAATCCTTTTCTTGAAACTCCTAAGAAATCCTGCTTTGCCACGTAGGAAGATCAGAGGATAACCAAGAAAATGTTTCGCTGTCACTAGGGTGAAAAATCAAAGTGTTAAGTCAGTGTCTTTTTTTTTCTCTTTTCAAATTCGCAAAGTGTGAAAGGACCAAATGAAACAATAGCTGTGAAAAAATAGCTGTTACAGGAGTCGGATTTAAATCTGGTAAACATCTTTGTCCTGGCCTACAAAGAATCAAGATCCTGATGAATGTTTTTCTCCAATTCAGTTCTTGAGGTTTAAAAAAAAAACAACAGTCAAATAAACACGCAAAACACACACACATATCAACAGTTTCTTTTCACATTTGGAGTTTGCGTCATTCCTTTCACAGAAGCAGGAGGTTGACCGTACGTCCTGGTCCTCATCCCTCACACCAACAACTCAAGTTTTTGTTAGCACATCTTCACACATGTGAAGAATGTGTCAGACACAAACGCCCCGTTTTGTGACATCTTTCAAGTCTTCAGTTTGGATTGAGGGAGTGTGGTGTTCACTGAAATTGATTATCATGAAAAATGTGACAGATCTGGGGGTGGACTAAGATCCACGGAGAATAAACGAAGAAAAGACAACAGAATCAATGTAAGTTAAAGAAAAAAAAGTTATCTTTTTTGTCAGCAATATAAAGCAAATAATGATTAGTTATCTTAAATCATTATTTGCTTTATATTGCTGACATTCAAACTGATTTTTAAGAACTGTTTATTTTCATAGACGACAAATCCACATCTCCTAATTCACTGGCTCTTCTCCACTTATTTCACACCAACAATCTTTTTTTCCTCCTTCACTACATCCATGTACCTTCCGATTTTGTCTTCTTTCTCTCCTGCCTCTGCACTTGGCTCGCCTCTCCTGACTCTTCTGCAAACGGTTCGACCTCAGACGTGTCTCTGATCTGCTAATTTGAAATCTGGTCCAAATCTCAGTCCTTCGACTCTGCCAGCTCTCCCATATCAGCCACTGTCTCACTACTATAGACATTCTCTTCTGAATACAACTTCAATTAATGGAGAAAGTGCTATTTTTATTTCATGATTCCTGCAGAAGCTCCCATATGACAGCAATCCCAACAGTCTACATCACAAAAGCTGCATCTGAACCTCAATACAACATTAGTATTAGGTCATCAAGGTCAGCTTCAGATACAAATCAACTGTGTCCTTTTGCAATTTAGGTCACATTCAGTGTTAGACTGGACTGAGGTTAATTAAATAATAATAGCAATACAGTAGTCCCTCGCTATTTCGCGGTTCATCTCTCACGGATTCACCACTTTGTGGGTTTTTGAAAACTGTATATTTAAAATATACTGTATCCTGGATTGTCACAGGAATGGGACGACGATATGGTTCAATCGGTCCAATTTTGCAAAAAAATCGACGACGTCGTGCCTCCCACCAAGCTACTCTTCGACTGGAAAAAGAAGCAGCTGAAGCAACTGCCGATCACAATGTTCGGCAGCCTCGCAAAAAAGAGCCACTTCCTGCTACTACTATGGATACACCTTCAGAAACCATGCAAGACGTGCCCCAAGAAATTGCACCACCCTCTGAGGAGACGTAAATTCAATCATCGGCTGCGCAGTAAAAGTCATCATCACCTTCCTCGTCATCATTTTGCCGCGCATAAATATGGTGTCACTACTTCGTGGAAATTCAGTTTTCGCGGCAGGCCTTGGAACCTATCTACCACGATAAACGACGGATCACTGTAAAAAAACAGAACCAGGATCAGGATCTTTATCTTGTTATCCCTCACCAACAAGTACATAATATAATTTATAATATATATTATAATAACCAATCA